AAAGGCTTTAATGGTAACAACAAAGCTTTATAGTAATTGTGACGATTTCAATTTTTCAATCGTCAACTTCCCTTATATATGTAGCAATATACCCTTATAACCTGCTTATAGGGTGTTTGTATCCCAGTTGATTCGATACGCAATTAGAATATGCTCTATGTATGAACAATTTCTAAAACGAGGTAAGCTATTGACAAAAAATTGATGAAACAAGGATATCAACAGTCTCGTTTTAAGTCATCATTTCGCAAGTTTTATGGTCGAAACAATGACCTGGTCAGCAAATGCAACCTATCTTTAATTAATTCAAATGCTGACTGACGTTTTTCATACTTATTGTAAGGCCGTTATTTAAAAAATGAATTGTTTTCGAATTTTTCACGATCATAACAATTCATCAGGGGATGCTCACTCCTCCATGGCACCTGATCCCATCTCTGACGTTTTTAAAGCTCCTTGTTTTCTCTGCTCCCGATATGTACTGATATAAAGGACTTTTGAGCTTGATCACTGTTCGTTATCTCCATATTTCATGAATTATAACTTAGCATGAAGAACATCTTAATTTTTTGTTTGTTTGTATGTTGTTTAAAGTCCCTCAAGAGAATTTTTCACTCATATGGAGACGCCACCACTTGCCAGTGGAGAGCTGCAAATTTTGTCCTATACTCGGCACTTACGGCCATTGAGCAGTGAGGGATCTTTTTTCGTGCCAGCACCTACTGCGACACAGGACCTCGGTTTATACGGTCTCATCCGAAGGACCGGTCTCCACGTCCCACAGTGGGATTCGAACCCGCGACGTAAGGATCGACTCCTTACGCCTCGACTCTAGAGCAGACACTCTAACCACTGCGCCACGCGGGCGAAAAGATCATCTTAATAAAATTGTTTCAATAAACAAAGCCATAAACAAAAAGAAAGTCATTAAAAAGATTCTTGAATCATATTCTTTGCTTCTTGTTTTATAAATGTAAAAGCATATATATATATATATATATATATATATATATATATATATATATATATATATATATATATATATATATATATATATATATATATATATATATATATATATATTGCATCAAAGGAGAGAGTATGAATGACCTGTGATCGAGGAAAAATATCTATATTTGAGAGGTTTTAGTACATTTGAAAATAGGCCTATACGTAGAAATGTTGCAATCCTATATGCAAGAATTACTATGTGCTTCAATCTATATATACCCTAAACTCCCCAATAATTCAATCTTAAACTGATAAGTATCTTTCTCATTCGATATTAATTCAAATGCCACAATTAGATGTACATAGCCTAATTTCAATTACGTCTCAAATAAACACACTTCAATATGACAATGTTTTTGCTTCAAATAGTCTTTGAGGTTATACACTGTATATGGAATAACATCAAAAGGGTTTAAAATAAAAAAAAAATATCTCGACATCAGTTAGTTTAAATATTTGTGTGCAAATTATTTCACATAACTGTTATACAAAACCGCAATGGTAAAAGAAACTGCAATTATCAAAGTATTCTCAAAGTAATTGTTACTATCTTGTTATTTTTCTAGACGTGGATTTGGATACACAATATAGAGATAATAAAAGGTTATTTCATGTATCCAGATAACCTGTATATAAAATGTAGTTTTTTTTTTCCATTTTTTACTTTTATATTTGTTAAGATTTAAAGAAAGTAGTTACTCATGTTTTGAGAATCATTTCAGGTCATAGCAGCATTTATGTGCAATGCACACCGTAGGCTTGAATCATACTGAATTCCTAATACAAGCATGGGATTTTAATCACGTTATAAATCTACCCCAAGTAAAATCTTTTATTTTAAAAATCACGCTCAGCTATAAATAGATACTAGATTTTTTTTAAAAAATGAAATCCATCCGTTCACGGGGACTGCTGTTAAATGGACATGGCCAACTGATTCTCTGTCGGAAAATCGTGATCTACTATTAAAAGAAATAGGAATGTATGCAGTGTTGACTTTCTAAAAGCTGAGCTGCAACATGAATTCCATCCATAAATGTAATACAACTGAATGATCAACCGGTACATCTTCTGACTGATATAAGGTAAGGAAAATGTACTATCTAATTAATGTACGTATTTATATATTTATACACTTAACAAAACAAAAAAGATTTTATTTTCTCTGTAGATAATTAGGTTTTCAAAGACATAATTTATTTTTGGCGATAAAAATACATGCAGTGTGACATATCATAGATTGTTTTAGCATTCCTTTACTTCTGAAAAATGCACTGCTTGAAACAGCAATAGATAAGATTCAACCCATGCTTTTAGGGGATTAGTTAACAATGCACACACTAATTCGTTTTAAATGTACCCAGGCCTAATAATATCAATAAGGGTTTTCTTACTAGCATATTTATTACTGCGAAAATGACCAGATTTGTTTACCGCATATAGAAATTAAACATTTCAGTCATGTCCTTGAGGCATTTGTAACTTAAAGGTGACCTCCCCAAAATAAAATTTATTTTGCAATGGTGCGTATAGCAGTTATGTGGGTCAATGTCAGATAAGGGTGAATTTGAGGAATAAAAATAATTGTGCCATGACATTTTTAAATGAATTCTTTTCTATTAAAAGAAATCTTAACGAAGTTCGCTCCTGAGCTTTTGAGCAAATTTTTATCTTAACCTATATTTCAAAAATTCTGCATAATGTTTTAATTCTTACAATAAATTTGGATTCTACAATGCCAATTTAACTATATTCAGTTAAAACTCCATGATTAAATTCCATACTAAAAGCATTAAATGAGGAACTATATTTTGTGTCGGAAGGTTTTTTAGAAGAAAATGATCATTTTTTCTCTTTCGAAATATTTAAAGTATGCTAAGTTTGGATTCCTATTTTTACATGCAGTCTGCACACATAGTTATTTTGTGCAGTGGACTGTTTTATATTGGTCCTAAATTATCTATTAAATAAACTGTCATGAATTCTATCATCATATATGATAAATGTAGCAAATATATTGTGAACATGAAGAAAAAAATAGCCCTAATTTAAGCTTAAAATTAGCACTGATTTAGTAATATCTAAAAATTAACATCACAGACCCCCACTTTTGATTTTCTTTTCTGAATATATACAATACTTTTAACCATTCTTCTTAAATTCAGTAAAATGACATTACTTTCAAATGATTTTTTTGCTTGTTAAATTTTTAATACCAGAAAAATGAAAATGTTTGGGTGCAAAAAGGTCAAATAATTGAACATGCGGAGTAATTTGAAAATTTCTTCGTTGTCACAACTTTTAATGTGTCTATTTAAGATGAAATAAGACTGTTTTTGTCCCCATTATTTATTTGAACAAAATTTATTGGAGTAGAAACTTTAAAAATTGATTGATGTGTAAGACGTATTTACAGTGCAAAAAGGTCAAACTAAATGCTCTGTAGCGCCAAAAGAAGCGCATTGACCCCCATTTTTTGTTTTGATTTTTAATAAAGCTATGTGTATAAGTTCTAAAAATATACTTGATAAAAAATTCTCATTACTTTTGATGGCAGGATCCAATCTCCTTAAGTGGCAATTGAATAGACATATGCACAAAATGTTTCAGGGTTTCTATTAAGCAGAACTTCACTGAAAAAAATACATGTCAAAATATCTTTAAAAACTTTCTGAAATACATGTATGAGGGGTGATCAAAAATTTCGCGAACTAATTTAATTGCTTCCATATAAGAAATAAAATCAGGTTTCAGTGTTCAATATTTTTTAAAGTAGTCCTTTCCAATTTTAATGCACATCGTTCTGCCCATGCGCGAATTACGTGATCCAGGCGGTCACGTGATATGCTCCATAGCGTTCTGTTCACAAAAGCTAAAACATTTTTTCGAGTCTCATATTTACTACCATGTAAGTTATTTTTTATAACAAGAACAGCCTATTTGTCAGAAATGGCGAAATCTCGGAAATAGGATGGGTGGATAAGAATATCCTTTCCCAGAATGAGCATGGTGATCATCACCACCCGACTCCTCTGTCTAGGTAGCGTCGTTTATCCAATGTGGATAAAGTATGGGTGCCTTCTTTTCATCATATCTGATATGTTTAAAGTCCAAAGTAAACGATATTTTCAGGATTTGATAATCATATTATTGTTAAGATATTCAACTATTTTACTAATTGTAAATTGGCGATCTTTCATAACAAATTGCTCAACTAAGGACACATCTCTTCTCCCTTTCTTCACTAAAACAATCAATCAAATTAATGATTAAACTTCTGGCAAGCCTTTTGTCTTCATAAACCTTGTACAAATTATTATATGCTACTGCAAAGGAATTTCCAAGATATACGTTAAACTTTACAGCTATTTGTTCCTCGAGTACGACTGAGTCAACCATATTTTATCATAGGTCATCTACATATTGACGTCATTTTTACATTGTGACGTCACAAACATGTAGCAAAACTTTACATGACATCTGCTATTTATAGAACATGTATATGACTATATGTGTGCCAAATTTCGTTTTGATCAGAATTGTGGTTTTGTAAATATAGGGTTAGTTCGCGAACTTTTTGATCACTCCTCGTATATAATCTTATCATTATTAATTTTACATCTTGTGAATGTGGAAAAATGTTATTTTTATTAATATTTGACATTATTTGTCTCAACTTTGGTTTGAAAAGTTTTAATTTGAAAACAAAGTGATACAATTAATTCATCAAATAAAAAAGTTAAATGTAGTCTATTCTGAAAATGTACAATAAAAGTTTTTTGTATAATGATTCTTAAAGAACTAAAGGAACCATGGTAAACTTCATAGTGTTCGTATTCGTTGCATTGCTAATGCACTTGTACCAACCTATCCAATGTCAACCACGTCCTGAATGTGCACCTGAAAATCCTAACCGACCCTCAGACTGCCCAATATGTCCACCAGAGGGATGCAGGTCCTCAACGATGGATACAGCTACAGGTATACCTATGGAGAATGTCACATCTGCCTCTACAGACAAGACACAATGTAGGTTAATTACGGTTTAACATTCCGTGTTTGAAGCGAATTTATGTAATTTTTTTTTTATATTTTGCTTATAACTGACAGTTTATAACATTAAAAATGCATAATGTTCGTGGTATATTTGAGAAAGACTTGGATACTTGGTCAAATATCAACATAACGTATAGATGATCATTTAAACCATTTAAAGGTGAAATGTATACTGAGCAAAATAAGTTAAGCATTTTTCACATAGGTATAATATTAAAATATTTTTCTTGAAAGTTTTTTTTTATGTTTTATTTAAAACTACATGTAATTGATATAAAGGTTATAAAAGACAAATATGTTTTTAAACTTTTGTCTCTCGGGAACCATGTCTTCAAACGTAGTGACAATGCAACAATACAATGTTATGCTCGAATGCCCACGGTTTGGGATGAATTTTCTTCTCAGAAATCTTCTCAGGACCATCCTTGTAAAAGAAATCCAGTGAGATATTGCAAAAAAAAAACTAAAGGGGAAAGACCAGGATTTTCTGAGAATGGAGAGTCAACTGGCTAAAGGGATACAAACCGTTGGCTGCTCACAAAAAAGACGTTGTCCAACACTTGAATGTGCACCGTCCACTGTATGCCAATTTCGGAACACTTATTTATGTAACTAATCGGCAGCGCTCAGGTAAGGTAAGGTTCTATTGTTACAACGTCGAGATTGTTTCAGGCTGCTCCTCAGGTTCCAGACGAGTAACATTGCCGTGCTACTAGAGTGAGGTTAAACATGTGGAGTTAAAGCGCTATGTACAAGTTAAACAAACGGGCTACATTCCGCAAATTGACGAGCTCGAATTCGAAGGCCTCTCACTGCAGTACCAGTAACTCAACGTCATCCACAATCTCGCCTTGCATGGGCCAACAATCATCATCGCTGGATTGCAATGACAATAAAATGAGGTACATGTATTGTGTACTGATGAGATACTATTTAGCGTCGATTTTGCAGATGGAACAGTTCTTGTTAGTAGACAAGAAAATGAGAGATAATGACCCAGAAAAATCATCGAACGTGACTGCTACGGTGGCGGTAGTGTTATTTTTTGGGGTAAAATATAAGCCAACTGGGTAAAACTGACCTTTTGACAAAAATTGAATATAAGATTCTAAGAGTTCATACTGTAATTATATCCTCTTTCCTTAAGTTTGTTATTTCCTTGTGCGTCGAGGAAATACGAGCATATTCAAAGACAACTCTCATCTGCACCCCATACAACATAAGACGTCCTCCAAAAGAATAATGTTGAGATCTTGGTTTGACCTGTGAGATCGGCAAATTTGTCACAATTTTAATTCATTATAGACATTATTGGTCGAGTCGACGTTTAAGATAGAGACATAACGTCAACAACGTATCGGAACTAACTCTTGCTCAGCAGCGCGAGTGGAACCAGTTCACCATGCTTGAGATAAGAAAATCTATAAGAATGAGATGCCGTCCTATGGCTGTTATTGCTGGGAATTGATACAAAATAATGAAATTGAATGTGATTTTATATCCCGTACCCCTTTTCAATTTTATTTCTATCTTATGTAATTGCACAAGATTGTCGATTTGTCGAAGTTCGTTATGTGATGAAAACCCCACAATTCAATCCTTTAGTATGTGTTATTTTCAATATTTCAAGTGTTAAACTTTTTTTGCTCAATATATTTTCTTAAAAGGTTATACTATGTGACATCCATTCACTTTACTATTCTAGACTGTATATTATCAAATTATGCTATTGTGATAATTGAAAGAAATTCTGTTTTCATTCAGTCCGCGGATTGACAACAGAGGAGATTTCAAAATTTTCGGCAAGTTTTTCTTACGGAGCATCAGTCAGAGTTCATACTGATTACCCCAGAGTGTAAGCCTTTAAATTACTAATTTACAATTTAAATATGCACTTCATATTAAGAAAATAGGTTGTTTTCTGGGCAAAAGAACTAAAGGTGTATATTGATGCGATTAACAACTTGAAGGAGAATAAATTAAACGATTAATAAAATGGCATTTTGGAAGTTTTCTGTTGTAATCATAATTATATTGCAAAAAATATTTAGTTTTAGAGAAAATATACACACATTGATCTGAATAAAAAGATAAGGTTTTATGTGCGTATGAGAAATAACATTGAATCTAATAAACAAACTTTCTAATGTAGATTCTTCATTACGGCGAGCGGTCTTCCTGACCATGAGACACAGAGAGTCAACCCAAACACTCCCACAGCTCAGAACTACAACATTACGATTCTGAAAAATCCCCAAATTGTACCAGTGCCGGGATGTGTTGGTCTGGGAATGATTGGGATTACACGAACTGGTGTGGCCATCTACAACCCTTTGGCAGGGGAGTTAACAAACGCTGTGGAGGGATCAAATCCCGAAACTTTTGATGAATGTGATGGACATGCAAGTCCAAATGGCGCTTATCATTATCATAAAATACCAGACAGTTGTTTGTACAAAGGAGAAATTGATGAATTCATTGGAGTGGCTTTGGATGGTTTTCCTATCTATGGACCAAGGGTTGGACTGTCAAAGAACATTTCTGAAGCTGAATTGGACAAGTGTCATGGGAAATTTGTCAATGGAAGTTACAGATATTATGTTACAGAGAAATTTCCATATTATCTCGGTTGTTTCACAGGACTTGTTGTTAATCAAGGAACTATTACTTCTTACAACTGTACTACAGACACATCACGTAAGTATGTTTTGTAGAGTTGACATATGTTTAATAAATTTTCAAAATTAAAATTCAATCTTACGAATAATTTGCATTATTTAACTAGGCAAAATTTGCTGTCACAAGAGACAGATGACTGGTTTTTATATTCCTTAATATTTTTAGACTGGAATATGGAAAAATATGGTTACGATTACTATCTTTGTCACTGTGTGAACTCTGGTCCAGGTGGAGGAGGTGGAGGACGTCGCCCGGAATGTGCCCCAGATAATCCAAATAGACCTCTAGACTGCCCGGAATGTCCTCCCGAGGGATGCAGATCAACAACAATGGAAACGGCTACTCGTCCCCCAATGGAGAATGTCACCACTTCTAACTCAAAAGGTACTAAACAATGTAGATTTCTTTTCTTCATGATGGTTTAAATCAAATTTCACAATTTACATATATTCATCATGTCCATCGTTCATTTGGCTGAAATATTGCCGACTCGGCTTTAAACAATAACAATCATAATTAGTTATTTGATTAATCATAATTACATTTTAAAGTATTCTAAACACTCGCACTTAAAGTTGTATCAATATGCATTCATTGCCGTATACTTCAATGTATATAACAATATCGTACTAGGTTTTGCAGTTATATTCTATTAATTTTGTTTATTATGTGATTGAATAATTCCTAGCTTTCTGATAAGCTAAGATCCAACATTGTAGGAATCATTCCAAGCTATGTTCACCTGCAGGCGCCCTTGCATATGAACACAACATTTTTTTTAACATTTGGCTTAATATAAATTGAGAACTTCTAAAATTTAAATAAGTTATGTTTACTTGCAAGACCTTAAATACCAAATGAACATAACATTAATTTATTTTTTCTTTTATTGGACTAAAAAGAAAAAAAAAAACCTTTTGCTATATAGAGTTATAGTCATGAAATGTTATATTTAATTACACCCGACTTTCAGGTGAACATAACAATTATCTTTTCTATATCGCCCCAAAAATAGATCAAGAAATCCCTAATTAATATAACTGGTTTTGCTTATTTTAATCTCCTTTCTCTCGCTGTATTGACTAGGATTTCATCAAATGTAAACAATTTTTAGAAAGCAAGGTTTGCTAAATGAATTAGTATCATTTAATCATTGAATCATATAATAAAACAATTATTGCTTTTTTGTCAATATAATGATGATTAAGTCACTTTCAAAGTGCAATATTCATCTCACCCTTCGGACTCGGTAAATGTACTCCTCAGGTGGCTGCATCATTGTATTAACCTCAAAAACAGCAAAATTCATATAATAACAGAGGTGGTAGAAAACAAACATTCTGCTAAAACATTTTTTTTATTACGGAAGAGAAATAAGTTTCTTTATATTGTCGAACACAAAAGCAATTCCTGATTTAAATGTAGGAATATTTCTTTTGTTAATTTTTTACGCATATTTCTTAAAGTGCATGGACTGACGAGTGAAGAGATCTCAAAATTCACGGCGAGTTCAAATTATGGAGCATCCGTCAGAGTTCACATCGATGACCCGAGAGTGTAAGGTTTAAATGAATCATTTTTTTCCAGGGATGTCAACGAATATTCGAACATTCGAATATTCATTTGATGAGTTGATATTCGAATATGAATTTGAGATTCGAATATTCGGTATTTTTCAGATTTCATTAAAAGAAGTACTGCGATTAATAAATTTTGATTAGATATCCCTTTTTAATTTACAAGCGATCAATTTTGATAGCCTGATTTCTTTCACTTCTTCCTTATCGTATAGATCTACTAAATTATTTTGTTTTGAGTAAGGTGTTAATGGATTATTCATTAATGATTTGTGTATTATACAAAACGTACTTTCATAGTTTTTTTATTTGTTAAATACAATCGGATATAGAATCGAGGACAACAAAAGGCAAACCTTCTTAGAATGTCTAAAAGACGTGAAGAGTATACATATCTTAATAAATTTAATTGATCAATGAATGGATGTCCGATGGAAGTTGTCTGTAATTAAATTTTGCAAAGAGCTCAATTTCAGAATAAATGTGTAAATTACTTGATTATCACGGGTTGTACATAATCCTGAATTTTATTTTCATTATCGGGAAAATAGTTAATTACCTAGGAAAATTATCTATGGAAATGTTTGTTTATATTTTAAAAACATTGTATCAAAGATTATGATCACATTTCTTATTAGGCCGATAATTGTAATTAATTGCACGTATTGAAATCTGAACAGTATATGACTATCTTGCCTTTGGTAAGACGACTGGTTCCTCAGTTGGAGCCACTATAAAAACACATGATTGTATAATTTGTTAAAATTGTACTTTTCTACCTTTAAATCAAATATTTATTTCAAACATTGATAAATATCAAAAGGAATTCCTTATTGTACACGTACAAAAGTCTTCATACAATTTTACTTTCAATATAAGAATACCTACGCTAAAACTTTTATGAAAGTAGGATGATACATTTAAACTAAACCAGATTTTATTTATTTTATCGAATATTCGAATATATTCGAATACTTTCATTGAATATTCGAATATGAATTATCGACAAAATTGACATCCGTATTTTTTTCTTATGCAAGGAATCCATTTCTGTAGTGACTCAGGTCATTTCTTTTTTTTTACTAAATACTTCCATAGAAAATACAAATAGTCATACAAAAAGAAAATAAAAGATAGAGAAGGATACAAAATAACTTTTAAAATAAGGTCTTTTAGATGAACATGTTGGTAATTTGACCATGATAGTAAAATGTACATTATTTATTACAATGTACATCGAATCAATTTGCTTATAGCATATTTAAAACGAAAAGCATTGCATTCTTTTCCTAATTCTTGCATAAAGATACAATATCGAAGTAAGAATTTATCTGCCTTTTTTGTTAGTGTCGAGTAAGAAATTTGGATGCATTGGAAAACATTTGTACATAACTTGTAGATTTCACATTTCGGCGAGCGGTCTTCCGGACCATGAGACACAGAGAGTCAACCCAAACACTCCCACAGCTCAGAACTACAACATTACGATTTTAAAAAATCCCCAAATTGTACCAGTGCCGGGATGTGTGGGTCTTGGAATGATTGGGATTACACGAACTGGCGTGGCCATCTACAACCCTTTGGCAGGGGAGTTAACAAACGCTGTGGAGGGATCAAATCCCGAAACTTTTGATGAATGTGATGGACATGCAAGTCCAAATGGCGCTTATCATTATCATAAAATACCAGACAGTTGTTTGTACAAAGGAGAAATTGATGAATTCATTGGAGTGGCTTTGGATGGTTTTCCTATCTATGGACCAAGGGTTGGACTGTCAAAGAACATTTCTGAAGCTGAATTGGACAAGTGTCATGGGAAATTTGTCAATGGAAGTTACAGATATTATGTTACAGAGAAATTTCCATATTATCTCGGTTGTTTCAAAGGACTTGTTGTTAATCAAGGAACTATTACTTCTTACAACTGTACTACAGACACATCACGTAAGTATGTTTTGTAGAGTTGACATATGTTTAATAAATTTTCAAAATTAAAATTCAATCTTACGAATAATTTGCATTATTTAACTAGGCAAAATTTGCTGTCACAAGAGACAGATGACTGGTTTTTATATTCCTTAATATTTTTAGACTGGAATATGGAAAAATATGGTTACGATTACTATCTTTGTCACTGTGTGAACTCTGGTCCAGGTGGAGGAGGTGGAGGACGTCGCCCGGAATGTGCCCCAGATAATCCAAATAGACCTCTAGACTGCCCAGAATGTCCTCCCGAGGGATGCAGATCAACAACAATGGAAACGGCTACTCGTCCCCCAATGGAGAATGTCACCACCTCTAACTCAAAAGGTACTAAACAATGTAGACTTCCTTTATTCATGATGTTTTAAATCAAATTTCATAATTTACATATATTTAATACATATATTTACTATATATATAATTATATCATATATTAAGTCCATTGTTAATCAGGCTGAAATATTGCCGACTCGGCTTTAAACAATAACAATCATAATTAGTTATTTGATTAATTATAATTACATTTTAAGTATTCTAAACACTCGCACTTAAAGTTGTATCAATATGCATTCATTGCCGTATACTTCAATGTAACAATATCGTAATCGGTTATGCAATTATATTCTATTAATTTTGTTCATTATGTGATTGAATAATTCCTAGCTTTCTGATTAGCTAAAATCCAACATTGTAGAAATCATCTCAAGTTATGTTGACCTGCACGCGCCCTTCCATGTGAACATAACATTTTTTTTTTAATTTGACAACATATAAATTGAGAACTTCTAAAAGGACTAGTGCACTTAAGCAATGCTTAATGGGCCCTTTTTCAGTGCCGTTTTACTTTAGAATATATTACCAAATTGTTCATTTTGGTAATAGTTAAACACAAGTGGATATTTCTAATTAAAATCACGTTAAAACATCACCTAAATCAGCATGGATTTGAAACAAATGAAGATTTTTTAAGCCTATAGCTACCCCAAATCTGGAAAAGTCGTACCGATCCTATTTTGAGTTTCGTTTTATTCAAATCAAGGGGAGGAGACATTTAAATCGGACACTTGAACAATCTGATGGTAGATCATTCACGGGCGCGTTTGCCGAATGATACTTCTTGCGCTATTTTACCTGAGAAAAAATGAAGTTGTATAGATGCCTGAAGCCATAGTGATCAAACTAAGAAATTTGCATGCTTGCGTTTGAAATAATACAGTAAGTATTACCATTAGTTCCTTTAAATTTTAAAATGAAAAAAGTGTATTTAGGTGGCTTTAAATACCGGTATCATTGTCTTACGTGAATGTTAAAAATTTTTAACGCTTTTATGTATGATGACATTTTAACGACACAAAACTCTCCTTACCCTCTCGTGTTTCTTAAACCAAAACATACAAACTTACGACTTCGATATAATGATACGAAACGTGGCTATCTTTTACAGTGAGCACCTTTGAGGAATGTTTACCCGGGTAGAACTCACGTGGCTACCAGTATTTTAAATAATTTATTCCACGGGTGGGTTCAACATAGGTCATACAAGTAAATAGCTCTCGCTTGCTGTAGGAAAAACATTGAACTTTTCATAAATTTTTAATGTTTTAAGTACAAGCCTAATCGTGTACAAATTTCCTACTTTCACACAAGTTTTATAAATATATATTGCGCTTTTTGTCATTCGCACAAGTTTGTACAACGTTAGGCTGACAGTAAACAAAAGCTTTGAAATGAATACCCATCCTCGATTTACTATAGAAAATCACGAATGTCGGCTGACCACTACCACATTGTATGGCTTTGCTCTTTGTATATTCATGAATTTCAGCGATAAAATTTGTTGAATTTTATGGTTTAGATATCAATTAATGATCTGAGATGAAAAATTATGCTTAATTTGATTCTTCATTTTTACATTTCACCGGGGCCCATAAGTGCACTCGTTCTTTAAATGTTATGTTTACTTGCAAGACCTTAAGTACCAAATGAACATAACATTAATTTATTTTTTTCTTTTATTGGACTAAAAATAAAGAACCTCTTAATTTATAGAGTTATGAAATGTTATATAGCATAACAATTATTATTTCTATATCGCATGAAAATTAGATCAAGAAATTCCAAATTAATACAACTGCATGGTCATGGTTTATCTCGCTGTGTTGATTAGGATTTCATCAAATATAAACAATCTAAAAAAAAAAGCAACTTGCCAAGGTTTGCTAAATGAGTTAGTATCATTTAATCATTGAATCATATAATAAAACAATTATTGCTGTTTTTTGAGTCAATATAATGATGATTAAGTCACTCTCAAAGTGCAATATTCGTCTCACCCTTTGCGCTCGGTATATACTCCTCAGGTGGCTGAATCATTGTTTTTACCTCAAAACAGCAAAATTCATATAATAACAGAGGTTTTAGAAATCAAACATTCTGCGATAACATTTTTTAAGAGAAGAAAAATTGGTTTCTTTATATGTCGAACACAAAGGCAATTTCTGACTTTAATTGTAGGAATATTTTTTTTGTAAATTTTCTAACGTATATTTCTTAAAGTACATGGACTGACGAGGGAAGAAATCTCAAAATTCACGGCGAGTTCAAAGCATGGAGCATCCGTCAGAGTTCACACCGATGACCCGATCTTGTAAGTTTTATATGAATCATTTCTTTCTTATACAAGGAAACCATTTTTGTAGTGATTCATTTTCTTTACTAAATATTTCCGTAGAAAATACACAATAGTCACACAAAAAGAAAGTAAAAGGGAGAGAAGGATTCAAAATAACTTTTAAAATACGGCCTATTAGATGAACATGTTGGCAATATGACCATGACAGTAAAATGTACATTATTTATTACTATCTATATATATATTGCTTATAGCATATTAAAAACCAAAAGCATTGAATTCTTTTCCTAATTCCTGCATAAAGATATACAGTGTAATATCGAAATAAGAAATTATTTGCCTTTTTTGTTCGTGACGAGTAAGAAATCTGGATGCATTGGAAAACATTTGTACATAACTTTTCACTAGATTTCACATTTCGGCGAGCGGTCTTCCGGACCATGAGACACAGAGAGTCAACCCAAACACTCCCACAGCTCAGAACTACAACATTACGATTTTAAAAAATCCCCAAGTTGTACCAGTGCCGGGATGTGTGGGTCTGGGAATGATTGGGATTACACGAACTGGTGTGGCCATCTACAACCCTTTGGCAGGGGAGTTAACAAACGCTGTGGAGGGATCAAATCCCGAAACTTTTGATGAATGTGATGGACATGCAAGTCCAAATGGCGCTTATCATTATCATAAAATACCAGACAGTTGTTTGTATAAAGGAGAAATTGATGAATTCATTGGAGTGGCTTTGGATGGTTTTCCTATCTATGGACCAAGGGTTGGACTGTCAAAGAACATTTCTGAAGCTGAATTGGACAAGTGTCATGGAAAATTTGTCAATGGAAGTTATAGATATTATGTTACAAAGAAATTTCCATATTATCTCGGTTGTTTCACAGGACTTGTTGTTAATCAAGGAACTATTACTTCTTACAATTGTACTACAAACATATCACGTGAGTGTTTTGATTAAATCTTTAGAGTTTACAAGTATTCAATAAATTTTCAAAATTATGATCCACATTTACTAATTCCCGCTATCTAAGCAGGAAAAAAAATGATTTGTGTCGATATTTTTTCTTTTTCTATTCATGCAATTTGCTTTTATTGCAAACAAATGAAATTTTCGTATTTTGTTAGACTGGAACATGGAAAACTACGGATACGAATACTATCTCTGTCACTGTGTGAACTCGGGTCCCGGTGGTGGTGGAGGACATCGGCCAGAATGTGCCCCAGATAATCCAAACAGACCCTCGGACTGCCCACAATGTCCCCCTGAGGGATGCAGATCTACAACAATCGATACAGCTACTCGAGCACCAATCTCCACTACGAAAAGGGTAGTCCTACCAAATGTTGTTGATGGAGACAATGCAGCTGGTCCTATAGTGGCCGAAATTTTGCCTTTTTTGTCTCTGTTTTCTGTCATTCTGTTATCTCTTTAATTTGATTCTTGTTGTATGAGAACGGATATTTCATCGCTATATTTCATAAAAAAAATGTTTATTAATTAATAAGTACATACATTGTTGAAAAAGCATTGTCAACCATGCTTTCGTTCATCATTTAAAACCGTGTAGTGTAGGTTTTTGTTTTGTTTTCCACAAATGATAAATAATCTCAGCAATGGAAAAAACTCTTTCCTGGTAGCTACCAGAGTGCTTTTAAAATTGTACCAAGGAGCTGGATTCCACTTTTACAATGCATTACCTTTAACAGCTATGAAATCGATAATTTCTATATATTTATATATTTTGTAAAGCATTCCTTTTAAACAGTACTTAGGAGCTGGATTCCTTTTCTGTGCTAAATATGTATATTCTTATGATTAATGCAAAGTTTCATATTAATCAGGACAGGCACGTAGTATTGTTTTTGAAGGGGAAGGGATGGAGGGGCAGCTAGAAAAAAACTGACAACTTAACTGGGAAACTTTGACCAATCCAGCAAATTCAAAGAATTGTGGTCCCCCACTTTTGGTGTCTAGAGGTTAGGATGCAATTATTTATAGCATATTGTAACTGTCTTGTTTGTGCTCCCTGTTTTGTCTGTGCCTCATACAAAAAGACATAAATTATTGAATTAATAACAGCTATGGCGAAGATTAAAGCTTCTCAAAACTGCATCAAACTTCAAGATCAAGGTCGTGAGGTCAAATATCATTATATAATCCGAAAGAACTTGTCACAGGTGATGCACTCATGTGGAAAAATTCCAAAAGCCTTATCTCTTCTGGAGCCATAGTTATGGCCAAAGTTAAAATGTTTGATAAGTATGTTAAAATTCTAGGTCAAGGTCATGAAATCAAAAAAATGAAATATCATTTTGAAAGGTGTTGTCATATTAATGTACATCTTGATGCCCTATCTTCTCTCATTCAAAAGTTTACCAATGTAAAATTAATTTGAAAAAGGCTTTAGGTTAAACTTCAAGGACAACAAGGTCAGAAGGTTAAAAACCAGAGTACATTCTAAAAGTCGTGAGAGAGGTAATGCACATGTCAAATGTAAATGCCTTATCTTCTCTCAGTCAAAAGTTATCAGCAATGTTAATATTTTTTGAAAATTAAGTCATACTTCAAGGTCAAGGTCTTGGGATTGAAAAGCACATTTGAAAATGCTTGTCACAGGTAATACACGTGTCAAATATGAATGTCCTATCTTGCTCCCTCAAAACTTATCAGCAAAGATATTATGTTTGAAAATTAGGTGAAACTTCAAGGTCACATGGTCGAATATCAAAGCACGCTTGGAAATTTTTTGACACAATAATGCATGCGCACTTGTCTAATATGAACACCCTATCATTTCTCATTCAAAAGACATAATTTTGAAGATAAGTTCAAACTTGAAAGTCAAGGTCACGGGGTCAAAAATCATAGCATATTTAGAAACGTCTTGTAACAGGTAGTGGACAAGTAAAATATGATAGCCCTATCTTTTTTTTCATTCAAAAGGTATAAGCAATGTTAAATTTTTAAAAGTAGGTCAAGGTCACGGGGTAAAAAATCATAGCATATTTGGTAAGTTCTTGTCTCGGGTTATGTAGATGTGAAATATGAAAACCCTGTCTTTTTTATTCAGAAGTTATGATCAAGGTTAAAGTTTGTTAAAAATTTTGAATTTGAATAGTAGGTCAAACTTAAAGGTCACGGAGTCAAAGATCATAATATATATGGAAACGTCTTCTCACAGGTAATATACATGTGAAGTATAAAAAGCCTTATCTTTTCTCATTCAAAGGTTATGACCAAAGGTAAAGTTTTTGATTTTTTTTGAAAAGTAGGTCAAACGTTCAGGTCACGGAGTCAAAAATCATATTTTGTTTGAAAAGGTGTTGTCATTGGTAATGTACATGTGAAATACGAAAGCTTTATCTTTTCTCATTCAAAAATTATGACCAAGGTTAAAGGTTTTTGTGACAGACAGACTGACAGATGAATGAAATTCAATGTCCCCTCGCTTTCGCGAAAGCGGAGGGAAAAGGGGAGGGTGGGAATTGTCCAAACTTTTTTTTTTCGGGGGGGGGGGGGGGATAGCTTCCAACTTTAGTTACAACCAAAGTTTAATCATATATTACCACATTACCCTGATTTGGCTATACTTGACTATACTGCAACAATATGTGGGGGAAGCAGCCTTTCAAAGAACATTTTCAACAGTAAAAGATTATGTTTGGAAAAAAAGGGGGGCATGCAACACCCCATCCCACCCCGGTACTATGTGCCTGTAGAAATAAATTGTGATTCTTCTTGTACATGTTCTATTGTGAAATAGTTTGTTGACAATAAAAACATGGTCTTCAATAACAATCCTGTTTAAACAATCGCTTGGAGCAAGACTTACCGTATAATACCATTTGTGCATATGAGATTCAAAGTGCATGTAACCCACATAATAAACATTATCTGTGAAAATTCAAACATAATATCAAATATACAGCTTGCATTTTGTTAAACAGAGCAAATGTTTTGAATTTTTTTCAACTTGAAGATATATTGTGAACCTTAGGGCTGGACATGACTTGTAAATAGTATTAGTTTTCCTATCTCCTATAAGAGAAATACCGACATCTTACGAACGAACGTAACTCGCCCTAACTTCCCGTATCTCGGTAGTTTTCTCGGGACCAGTTATTGCACCTATATAAAGTTTAAAATCGGGACATGTAAAAGTATATGTTTATAATAGAACGGATAGTGTTTTAATCACTTTGTAAATGATAATTACTCCCGTCTAATTTTCTATTATCACTTACAATGTAATTAAAAGCAGACAAACAGAAGAAAATACGCCATAATACCTAAGACGGATTAGAAAACACGTTTGTCATGCGTCAGTGATTATACTTATGCATACAAGTGTGCGCTGTTTTCATTTGGGGGAAAAGTTATGTTTCATAGCATGAAAAAATCTAAACTCACACCCTGTATAAATCCGTGCAGAGGCAACAAGGTACTTGGTGATGCGCTTACAGTATATATAGTGTCTTATATTAAAAGTGTACATTTAATCATTTATGTGTTTGTAAGAGAGAGAGAGAGAGAGAGAGAGCACAATGGACAATAAATTGGCATTGTTTTCCAACGTTTCAGAAATCAACCATTAAAAATAAGATCAGAAAATGGGTGGCACTACTTTGGAAAAAGTATTATTTTTAAAAAGGGCGCGAATACATGTTTGTGTTGAGGATGGAAAGGAGGTCTAAGCTCAATTAATCGAATAAAATGTCTGTTTTCATTATATCTAACAAAATACATAAAATACAAATTTTCATATACTACAATATTAAGGACCCTCTATACACCAGTGCAAAATGTTTTTTGGACACTGAGAAATTTATACTGTATACATGTGTAAATATTAAGCTTATCTATTGAATTTTCAATATATGGTACGTGGCATTTACCCCCAGGAAAAATGTTCAAAGACAGCAAAGTTTCAATGAACAGAAATCACTGTTGTTTATTTCAGTGGATAAAATATATGCAAATGAAGTGTCCAATTAATTTATCTTAGCCTTTTAAAATGTTCAGAATGCTTGAACTGATCACAGATTGAGTAATACACTGAATATTTCAATTTATTTGAATTCAGATCTAAGGGCAGTTCACTCTACCTGCAGAAAAATACCACAGAATCTGAACTCTTTAGTGTGCAGTGTAGAGAGGGTTCTTAAAAAAGGAGAATGGGACAATGCTTGCATATGCATTAGGTCGGGAAACAATTTTTTTCCATACTGTATCTAGTAAAAGAAAAAGTAACTAATTCATAAAGAAGGAAGGGTAGGCCTTTTTTTAGTATTCATATCACTTCAAAGAAATAAACGAGCATTCATATGGTACTCAGTAAATTCTTGGATGAAGTATTAAATGGCGATCTTCCCCTAATTTATCTTTCGGCTGCTTTTCATTATATACCGGTATGTAATATCTGTATAGATATGTGGATTATAAAAAGCTGCAAATTATGTGTTTGGGTGGGGTGTTTTTTTTTTTTTTTTTGGTTTTTTTTTTAAAATTTTCTTTGTACTTAAGTTATGTTCCATTACGTTATTGTTTTCTGTATCATTCATTATTTGTCACAATATAAAATTACAAGATACACTGCATACGTGAAGGGTAACCTTGACAGCACGCAGAGTAAATTTCGATCACAGCTCCAATATACTTACATTAAAAAAATCTGTAATCGAAATTATAATGCGTCATCTATAAGGAAAAAAATCATATTAATATCCTGTTGTAAACCAATAAATAAATTTAAAAAAAAAACAGGTGATTAAGTATACTAACAAAAAGTTTTCAAAACGTGAATAAGTTGAGGACATCGAGTGCACTACGCCGATTCACTGAGTTGTTAAGGCATGCTTCAAATGTGCCTGCACACACAGGAAGAGTTTTCACTGATATCAGGCCCGTAGGAAGCAATTTCAGTTGGGGGGGAGGGGGCACAGCCATACATTTTCAGTTGGGAGGCGCTATCAGCTAAAAAATTCCTTGACAAGCCCCCGTGCCCCCCGGTTCCTAAGGCCATGGATATGTAGAACTAGTTTCTACTGACATTTTTTTTCATTAATTTCTCAATACAGTCATGATTTCTTTCTGTTAAAAGTCGTATTGCTGCAGATTTATTGCGTCTTTTTAATTAGTCAAATCAGAAACATACTTTTCGTTTTCAAAAGTAGGAGGGGGTAGGGAACCAGAGAAGAAAAATCAACTTACCTTAAAAAAACTCTGACAAGGAAAAAAAACGGAGGGAGGGAATTAATTGTTTATGTGTATATGTCGGGGGGGGGGGGGAGGGGTCCAACATTTTTTCAGGTGATTTGCATTGCTTTTTAATTTGTAAAAACTAAATATTTTGAATTAAATGTGCACGAGTTTCAGTTGCAAAAACATTCTCGTATATGTCACGTCAGGAATGGCTATTGATTAATTTTCTATTTGATATTGTCAGAGGTGATAATTCCTCGTAATGGCTAAGAAATACTCGTTCGAAATACCATATTTTGCGAAAAATTAACCCGGCTTCAATATACATGTATTATAGCCATATCATAAATCGGAGGAGGGGGGGGGGTTGCCCCTTCGTAATTTTTCGGTTGATCAAGCTTCTTAGATATCTTCATATACCAATGAGCAACTTACGCTGATAGAGCTAAAATTATTGTCAAAAACACAATTCACTTTGAACTGAATTTTTCCTGCAGAAAATAGATGTACGTACATGTACATACACAATTAAAGTTATTAAACAAAACAGTATCTGGTACTCGCGATCGATCGAAATTGCCCTGCTGGTTGAAGTTACATCACTCAGAGTTTCTACCTTAAATAGTCAGTTTAAAAGTCTAATAAATAATTAAAAAAACTTAACTGTTAATTTTATAATTACATGTACAAAGTTTACCCAATAGCATGAACAGAAAGGCTATTGTTTTATGTTTATTTTTTACCTCTCCCTCGCCCTCTTTTCCGTAAGAGATCATGCTTCAAAATAGGACATTTTTATGGCATGTCAAACGTTGCAATATTCGATCTTTTGCATTTGCATTGTATAATTTTCCATTTGCATTGTATAATTTTTATTTGTATTGTATAATTTTCTATTTGTATTGTATAATTTTTCATTTGTATTGTATAATTTTTATTTGTATTCTATAATTTTCTATTTGTATTGTATAATTTTCATTTGTATTGTATAATTTTTATTTGTATTGTATAATTTTCCATTTGCATTGTATAATTTCTTATTTGTATTGTAAAATTTCTTATTTGTATGCGATAATTTTTCATTTGTATTGTATCCGCGGACTGTTTATTTGTTTCGTTACGAAGGATTTCATTGGTCAAGTTTCAGCCTGTATCGGGTTGAAGATGTTCCGGATGCTCAAAGCAAACTGGGCTCATATGTATTTGCTTGCTTGCTTGATTGATTATTGTTTAACGCCGAGTCGGCAATATTTCAGCCATATTTCGGCGGCATATGTATTTGCGTGCATGTTAGACGGTTATTGGATTCTAAAAAGGGAGTGCTGGTAGATGGCAAATAAATAATTTGTCCTTAGGAATGCTGATTGAGAAAATAAATAAATTGACCTTGAGTGGTGGTAATTACCCCCACCCCCAAAAAACTGAGTTTTCGGGTTTGGGCGGATTTTCTTCTTTTTGTTTTTCTCCTTGTCTCTGGTCATATTGGAAATAAATATTCTCTCCTGCGAGAGAATGAAAATAAATAATCGGATTCGACACCCCCCGAGAATCAAATGGTCGTCCCTTAGCATGCACCGAAAAATAGAGGAGCCGAGTTTGTGTTTGTAGAGAGTGCGCGATCGGAATTGTAGGAAGGGTACCAGACTAAGTTTGTGATGGGCACCTTTATACAGACTAAATTTTATGACCAATGACATCCTTCGTAACGAAATAAATAAACAATCCTCGGATACAATACAAATGAAAAATTATCGCATACAAATAAGAAATTATACAATACAAATAAGAAATTATACAATGCAAATGGAAAATATAGAATACAAATGAAAAATTATACAATACAAATGATTTTTTTTACAACACAAATGGAAAATATAGAATACAAATAAACATTATACAATCCAAATGGAAAATTATAAAATCCAAATGGAAAATTATAGAATACAAATAAAAATTATACAATACAAATTGAAAATTATACAATACAAATGAAAAATTGTACAATACAAATGAAAAATTATACAATACAAATAAAAATTATACAATACAAATGGAAAGTTATACAATACAAATGGAAAAGATCGAATATTGCAACGTTTGACATGCCATACATTTTTTTCATTTTCATTTCATTTTCCTTTTTGGAACCCCCTTTCTCGTTTAAATATCCATTGAAATGTATGGTAGCATCACGGTAGCGACTACGACAAGAAGTAGTTTTGAGGTATCTTGCAGGGATTTTATCTATTGAAATCTCAATAACATCGAAGAATTCA